TCGGGCACCGTGGCCTTCTCAAAGCGTTCTGGAACGCCCTGCAACGGAGTCATCCTCGTCCTGGCCCCATCCGAACAAGCCAACCTGCGACAAAAGGCTGCCATTGACCGCGCTTTAGAGCGTCGCCCCGCTCAGGCAACCCGCTGCGGTGCCGACTGCCGTGTCGACTGCCTTGCCGAGCGCCCGATCGAGCAGACCTGGCCAGCATGCAGATGCAAGAGATGAGCACCGTTTAACCGATCCCCATCCCCAGCGGCGTGGCCTGGGCCCCACTGGTCGAATTACCCCCCGAGATGGGGATATAGGCCGTTCCCTTCGTGTTTCGAAGGGTGTATCCCCAACTTGGGTTGCACTGTGGTGGGGGTCTCGAAGGAGATGGGAATGGGGATTGGTTCAGCGATACCGAAGAGAGTTCTTGGATCGGCACCCGACTGGAGCGCGCGCGCCAGAGGCGCCGCCAGGGAGGGGCCCCGCGCCGATCCAGGAAACCCGCGCGGACCCCACGAGATCCAAGACACCCATCATCCGAGAAATACTGAGCATTTTCCTAGGGTGGAGGGCCCAGGGTGAAATCCACATGGGCTTCTGCACCTCGAAAACCAGTCCGTCTTGTGACTCACCCTTTGCAGATTCGAGCCCCGAAATTCAATCGAAACCGCATTTCAGATTTCACCCCTCGCCCTGCACCCAAAGAAAATGCTCGGAAACATGTTTCTCCAAAGAAATCCAGACCGGTCAAAGAGATCCCAGACTCCAAGTGATCCCATCCAAGAAATCATATGTGCATGCCGTCGGCATGATGAAAACTGCTGGCTTACCCGCCCATAGGGGAAGGGCACTTTACACTCCACCATGGCCGAGCGCCACCCAGGCAAAGACGCAGTAGAGGAGGACCAAAAAAAAGGCCGTGCGGCCCCGGCCCGCCTGCCAGCCGGAGTCAGCAGGACGTCACTTGACGCCGAAAGAAAATCTTCAGCATGGAAACTACGTCCCTCGTGCCGAACACGAGCACCGGAGCACGTCTGCGAGGCGTCACGAAGCAAATCCGTGTGGTATGAAGCTGGGACGCCCAGAAAGCATGTGCTTTCCCACAGGGTGGCAGCGGAGTTTTTCTATGGGTTCCATGATTTCCATGGCAAGAGTGGACGAGGGATGGAGCGGGCATGGTCTGGATAAACAAGCGCTCCTCGCGAGAAACGTCAAAATGCACCGTTGCAACAAATGGTCGCCATAGCAAATGAGTGCAGAATAAAACAAAAACTTAAAACGAACGGGGATGGATACATCCGCCGCCGTGCCCTTGGCACGCTCGGGGGTGGCAGCATGCCTTTTAGCTGTCTGTTAGGGCTTCTGTAGGCCCCTACGACCAATCCCCCAGGACTAGTCACAGATCAGGTCAGCAAGCGCCACGTGACGAATACATCATCGGCTAGGCGCTGACACAAGAATCCCACCAGCCCTCTGGGCGTCGGTGGTTTAGGGCGTTTCCTCTTCCACCCCTCCCTCTTTCCCTTCGGGGAGGGGTTTACCCCTCCCCCTACCCGCTCCCCACTGACCTGGACGGGGGGGGCCGCGAGCGGTCAGAGCGTCCAACAGGCCTCGGCGAGGAAGCCAAAATCATTGATTTTATTATGGTTTTGGCCCCATTTTGGCCTTCTGAGGGGGCAGCGCTAATTAAAGCTCCCCTCTTCTTTGATCGATTTTCTCCACGATGGCCGCAAGAGACCCCCAGGATGCCCCAAGAGGCCGCAGGATGGCCCCAAGATGGCCCCAAGAGGCCCCCCAAGAGGCCCCCAGGAGGCCCCCAAGAGACCCCCAAGAGGCCCCAAGAGACTCCCCAGAGGCACCCAAGGGGCAAAGATGGCCCCAAGAAGCGCCCAGGAGGCCCCCAAAGGCCCCAAGATGGCCCCAAGAGGCCCCAAGAGGCCCCCAGGAGGCCCCAAAGAGGATCCCGAACGGCCCACAGAGGCCCCCCCGAGGCACCCAAGACGCCGAAAAGCCCCTCAGGACGACCCTCTACTCGCCTGGGCGTCGTTTCTGGACGGGCTGGTGGGGATACACGAAGCGTCCAGAATTTGTAGCTGGTTTGGCCTGCTTTGGTGGCTTCTCGGGGGCGGCCCCGCCGAATTGGAGCGCCACCCCGTGACGGGGTCACTCTCCTGCGTGTTGCTCCTCATGGGGAGACCAACAGGTACCGATACCGCTACTCCCCGGACCTCTCCCGGGGTGCGCTCTGACTAGGATTTCGAGGCGAATCCAGCGGTGGCGACGAGGGAGGCCCAGGAGGCCAAAAAGAGGAAAACGGGCCCAGGAGGCCAAAAAGAGGAAAACTCTTCTCGGCGCCGAGACGGCCCAAAGACGATCGAGACCGTCCCAAGACGGCTCAAGTGCCCCAAGGCGAACCCAGGACGGCGCGCCGGCGCCCCAGAGAAGCTCTAAGATGCCCCAGGGAAACGGCAAGCAGCTCCAAGAAGGCCCGACGAGGTTTCCGAAGAGTCCTTTAGCGAGACACTGTCGGGGGCGCGCAAACATGGATTAGCGATCCATGGATTTGGCGCGCGGTCGCCAAATCCATAGATCGGGGAAGGTGCCCTCCCCAAAGTGCGGCCGGTGGCGCCTCGTTCGGCGGCAATCAGCGATTTTCGATGGAAACGGGACTCGTCGCTAATCCACGCCCCCTTCATCCATGTTTGCGATCGCCTGACACTGGGAGGCCACCGCACATCGAGAACAGATGCGCTTAGATAACTGATTGATGTGACTGTCCTGTTCGCATCCAAAATTGTTGCTGCCCAAGGCGGCACTCAGGAAAGCTTCCCAAAGCCACACGACTACATAGAAATGATAAAGACTGCATAATCATAAACGTTCGAAAACCCCGGGCGGATTTCTTGGATCCGCGCTGGACTCTTTGGCGCGTGGAGCGCGCCAGAGGCGGAGCCCGAAGCGTCGCCATAGAGGCCCAGCGCCGATCCAAGAAATCCTCGCGCAACTCCGACACGTTGCATGATGATAAAATTTCCACCTTCGAGAGACGATCCCAGAGGGACCAAAGATGTCACCCAAGACGGCTCAAGAGTGCCCTACGAAGGCTCCAATGTAGCTCTACAGAGCAAAGCAGTGGCGCCAGAACGGACCCCTCAACCTCCAACAAGCACCCCAGAAGTCCCCCACGGGGCGCCCGATGCCCCAGCAGACTTCCAAGATCCCCCAAATATGCCCCCACCCCAAAGCCTCGAAAAGGCCTCGAATGGACAAGGTGGCAATCCAATCATGCAGCAACGCAACGGCCGCAGCACACCACAGAGAGAGAGCGTGATCCACTGCCGCTTTACCGTGGAAAATTCCCCCACCCCTCTTCCTCCGTAACCCGGGGGTCACCCTCCCCCTCCCTCCGAAAATCCCCCCCCCACCCCCTGCTGGAACCCCTCCCCACCCTCCCCCCGACAACCCCCCCCCCCCTAACCCCCCCCCCCCCCCCCCGGAAAACCGGGTGGGTCACTACCGGCTCGAACCCCCCCCCCCCCACCTGCTGTCCCCAGCAGCACTACTGTCCTCACCACCACTGTCCCCACTGTTCCCACCACCGTCCCCACTGTCCCCACCAGTACCCCCACCACTGTCGCAATGTTCCCACTGCTCCCACCACTGTTCCCACCACGGTCCCACTCTCCCCACTTTCCCCACGGCCCCAAACACTGTCCCACTGTCCCGACTATCCCACTGTCCCACTGAGCTGTCCCACTGAGCTATCCCACTGAGCTCTCCTACTGTTCCCACCACTGTCCCCACCACTGTCCCCACTGTACCTCTGTGCCATGGTCCCACCGCCGTCCTCGCCACCGCCCTCACCACTGTCCCCACCAGCACGTCCCACTGTCCCGCCGCTGTCCCACTGTGCCGTCCCACCGTCCCCACTGTCCCCACCACTGTCCCAGTGTCCCACTGTCCCCACCACTCTCCCAACTGTACCACTGTCCCACCACTGTCCTCACCACCGCCTGGACCACTGTCCCCACCACTACCGTCCCCACCACTGTCCCACTGCCCCCACCACTGTCCCGCTGTCCCCTCACCACTGTCCCCACCACCACCGTCCCCACCAGTGTCCGCACCACTGTCCCACTGTCCCCGCACCACTGTCCCCACCACCACCGTTCCCCCCACTGTCCCAGTATCCCCACCATTGTCCAACTGTCCCGAGGAGCGGGAATCGTTTGCCGACGACGAGGGGGGGGGGTTCGAACCAGTAGTGACCCCCCCTCGGTTTTCGAGGGGAAGGGGGCGGGTTCGAAGTTCGAACCAGTAGTGAACCCCCTTCCTTTTCATAACGGACAGGGGGGGGTGGGGGTTTCCCCCCCCCGGTTTTCGATGGGGGGGGGGGACGGGTTGGGAACCCCCAGTGACCCCCCCCCGGTTTTCCGCTTCCGCCAGCAGCGGTAGAACACGCTCTTTCACACCACAACATCCCACACTACAACATCTCGAGCCTACCAGGAGAAGTCGGCATAATCACCCCGCATACTTCCCAATGCTGCGCGGGCATGGTGGCGGGGTGTGCCGCAGGCAGCTGGAACACATGGGGGAAAATCCAGGGGACATGGGAGAGCTCACCACCTTTTGCCCACCACCCCGGGCTGGCTGCCCCCACTCCAAGTCTGCAAGACGCAATGGCTCCCACTCGTGAGCCAGGCGCTAAGGGCACGTGCCCGGCTACAGCAGCGGGGTCGTCTTGAGCTCCCACTCCCGGTCCTCCGCCAGGCTCGACCACAAGCACCTGGTGCTGACTGCGGCAAGGAACCACCAGACCGCTCCTGCGGCGCAGTAGAGACTCAGCGTCCACGGGGCGTGCCGATAGATAACCACGCCTCCGACATAGTCCATCGAGCAGACGGCGCAGGACGCAGACAAGGCGAGCCTGTGGATGCGCACTTCCCGCGCCGAGCCCCGTAACGCCACGTGATAACCCCGCACCGCGGCCACGAGGGCGAGGAGAAAAGCTACCACGCCTCCATCTGGACGTCCTGCGAGGACGATCCTGGCACGAGCAGAGAAGAACGACACCACCAGCATCTTGGGAAGCCAGTGAGAAGGGCCCTCGTGGTGGTGTGGGCCCCCGCTCTCCGGCGTCCCTTCCAAGATCGGGGAGGCATCCGTGGACCCCCTTGCTGGCCCGCTGTTTGGGGGAAGCCCGCAGATAGATACCTCGCCGATGGTTTTGCGGTGTCAGGTTATGGTTTTGAATTCAGCGGTTAGATTTCGGTTCGGGTTTGGTTTCGGGTTTCGGGTTTCGGGTTTCGGGTTTCGGGTTTCGGGTTTCGGGTTTCGGGTTTCGGGTTTCGGGTTTCGGGTTTCGGGTTTAAGTAGGACCGCTACACCCGAGACCTCTCCCAGAACTTTGGGGCGAACGTCGCCTCGGCGATGAGGGCCTGCCAGGAGGCCCCCCCAGAAACGGAAACGAGGCAAAGGCAGAGGTATTTGCACGGGGCGTCTGTTCAGGAATGTGCCCAGCATCTGATGAACGCGACGGTGGTCTCAACGGCCGATACACGAGTTGAGTTCCTCCAGCTTCCAGGCCCTGAATTTCTCATCCAATGGTTCCTTATTGAATGCCCTCACCTCACCGCTTCCTCCTCTGATTATGTGGTGGCGTCGCTTCTGCTCCCTCCGTTCCTGAAGGCCCACAGCCAGTACACGAGGGCAACCTCGAGAGGGGCGAGCATATCCATATCCGCGCCCTCACGGACTGGATTCTTGGGCACGATCCCGCGGGTACGCGATCGCACGGATACGCTCCGCGTAGAGAATCCGCGCAAAGATGTCCTGTATCCGCGGGATCGCGGCCCAGGTGGCCCGCGAGGCCGCGGATACGGATATGCCTTTCGCCCACGACAGCCAGCGCCACCGAGCACAGGTGCTGCAGCAGCCGACCGCCGTGCGTCGGCCTCTCCGCCGCGGAAGGCAGCTGCCGCTCGAAGCGGCCCTTGAGGAACCTGCCGCACGCCACGCCCAGGCCGTTGGCAACCGGCAGCGCGAGCAGAGCGCTGACCCCAGCCTGCTGCAGGGCTGCCATGCCGCTGACGTGCAGCTTCCCTACAGAGGCCTCCCGCATGGGGTCCGAGTCGATGGGGTCGGAGAGGATCTCGACGCATCTTCGATGCATCGGCGACGTCGGCGATGCATCCGCGCCGTCGGAGTGGAGAAGGTCGGGCTCCACATCGAGCCGCACCGCCGATGCGTCGGCGAGCGATCCACCGACCTCCATCAGCTCCGACCCCATCTGGGAGGCCTAGATTCCCTGAGCTCCGGGCTGCAATTTGCTCACGCCAGGCGCTGTCGCCCAGCTTCGGGCCTCGGGGCCATCGGAGATCGATCCGGCTCGAAAAACGCAGCAGAAAGATGGGACCCGGGGGGCCGTGCCGTGACGTTTCGCCATGTCGCATTGTTGCGCAACGTCGGGTCTCAGGGTTGCCGCCTCTGCCCCCGAGGGGACGGTGCGCCTGCCCGGGAAATGGCTCGGCCTCGAGCCAAGCTGCGGAGGAGGGCGAGGAGTAGGGGCAACAGGGAACTATCCCTCATACCTCCTGGACGGTTGGGGATCGCCCCTCGCCAACGCCAGCGAGGCACTCACAGAACCATTTTATCAACATTCCCCAAAAGCCTTCGGCAAGGGTGTGCTTTTGCTAGCGCTGACGCCGTGCGCCGTGATCTCCGGACGGCCCGCTTCACTGCGCTTGGTATGGCCAACCCGACGTAGAAATGAGACGGTCGGAGAACCGCATTGATTGCGGGCTTTGACTTGGCACGCCCGAAATGTCATTGAACCGGCCTTGCAGACGTGCTGCAACGGATTTCTGCGTGGAGTTCTGCGCGGATTTTTGCTCGAAGCGGCGAGGGAAAAACGAAGTGAATTTCACGTGGATTCTTTTTAGTCTTCACTCCTGGCCAAAAGAACCCGCACGAAATTTACTGCGAAATCTGGAACGAAATTCTCCAGGACAACCTGGGCCCATCCTGTTGTTTTCCGAACGAAATCCGCTCTGCGATGTTGGCGCCATGAGAAATGGGCACGGAAGAAATATGCACGATGCCCAACAGCGAAAGGTTGTCTAAAACCGACGGCGGCCGCTGTTGGGCAGGCGGCCTTCTGTCCCGAATGGACAACTCCTGCGGCGACACCGACAGCGAGCCCGGCTCAGAATGGACCCGGCACTGCCGCCGGTCCTTGTACCCACAGCTCTTTCCGCACCCGGGTCGTCCGTGCCGCTTGGCGCGGGCCGGCGTGAGAGCGCAGCCGACCTCGGCCTGGGTTGCCTGCAGGCTTTGGCCGCGAGGTCCCGGCCTCGGCCTGCCGCGCGCTCGCTGCCCCGAGCGCGGCAGAAGGGGGGTGGGGGGGCGTCCCCGCCCGCTCCCCTCGCCCGCCCGTCTTGAGCCACGCAGGCTGGGGGTGGCACTCCAATCGCTCCCGCTCCCCTCGCTGCAGCTGCCGCTCCCGCTCCTCGTCCTGATCGCTCCCCGTCTCTTCTCCTCGCTAACTCGCCGTCCCCGCCTCCTCCCCTCCTCGTCCTCCTCTCCCCCGCCTCCTCCTCCCTCCCCCGCCTCCTCCTCCTCCTCCTCCTCCTCCTCCTCCTCCTCCTCCTCCTCCTCCTCCTCCTCCTCCTCCTCCTCCTCCTCCTCCTCATCATCATCATCATCATCATCATCATCATCATCATCATCATCATCATCATCATCATCATCCTGTCTTGCATCGGGTTAGTCCGCCTTCCATGCAATCGCTTATCAATATCCCCTCACTTAGTCCTCCTATTTCCCCTCCTTCACTCCCGCACGCATTCACAAATGATGTCACGTCGGGCTCTGCCGTTAGAGTGCCTTTTGTTGGCCTCCACCCGAGCTCTGCTAAAGGGAAGCCAACAATCGCATTCATGGCAGCCTCACTCACGTGTCTCACCTGGAGGTGGGGGAAAGGAAAGATGTGATCTGAACTCGGGTAAGGATCGCGCCCTTCCTCCAATCGGCGGGCTGTTTTTGAGGGCGCTGGACAGAGAGCAGAGGCAAAACAAAATCAAATTAACGCTCCCACTGCGACTAAGGATGGGCAGACAGCGCGAGTTCTGATCCATCGTCCTCAGCCCCATCAGCTGACTCCCACCCGTGCCACGTATCAGAGTGGGGTGGGGAGGTGATGGCGATGATGACGATGGAGACGAACACTAACACGACGACGAGAGGGTGGAGGATGAGTAAGAGGAGAAGCAGGAGGCGCGACGGAGGTGGAGGGATGCTCCTCCTCCTCCTCCTGCTCCTCCGCATCATCATCATCACCTTCACCATTGTCATCATCATCATCATCATCATCATCATCATCATCATCATCATCACCATCATCATCATCATCATCATCATCATCATCATCATCATCATCACAATCATCACCATCATCGTTATCGCCATCATCAGCATGATTATCGTCGTCGCCATCATCGTACTGATCAGGATCATGCTCACCCGCAACGCCACATCATCATCAGCATCACCAGCAGCATCATCGCGATCAACATCACAACCACTATCATAATTCCCCGCATCCTCACCATCATCCTGATCATCGCCATCCTCAGCCTCGTCGTCATCACCATCACAATCATCACCACCACAACCACCATCCGCATCTACATCATCATCACCTTCATAATCACCACCATCATCAACACCAGCATCACGACCACCACAACCATCATCATCATTATCGGCATCGTCGTCATCATCATCACCATCATCACAATCCTCATTCTCATGTTGATATTCATCCTCATTCTCCTCATCATACTCCTCACTAGCTTCAGCAGCAGCGTCATCATGAACAGCATGACGATGGTGGTGATGATCATCGTGATCATCATCGCCGTCATCATCGGCATGATCATCACATTCCTCCTCCTCCTCGTCATATCCATCATACTTCTCATCATCCTCATCAACATCCGCATCAACATCATCGTCCTCATCATCAGTACCATCATCACTTACAGGATCATCATCCCCATCTTCATCCTCATCCACATCATCATCATCATCATCATCGGCTTGACTAGCATCATCATCAGCAACAGCATCAGCATCCGCATCATCAGCATCATCATCATCACCACCACCATCATCATCATCATCATCATCATCATCATCATCATCATCATCATCATCATCATCATCTGCATCATCATCAACATGTTCTGCACTCTCCTCATTATCATCCATGGTCTGCCCTCTTATCCTTCCCCCCCTCCGCCCCAGCACCGCCGACCCCAATCCCGAGCACATCTTCGGCGGTCCTCCTCCCTCAGCTCGCCCCTGAGCTTGTCCAGCTCGTCACGCAGCACCTCGGGGAGCGGACGGCCGCATCCTCAACGAACCCTCATCTTCTTCCGGCCCCCCCCCCCCCTCCAACGGTGAAGATCGCTGGGGCGGGCTGCGCCTGTGATGTTACTGGAGCCCACGGCCCGAAGCTCTGATAACGGCAAATCCTGCAGTGACGGCGTGGGCCATGGCACATTCGACAAGCGCGTTCCCCTACTCGGAGAGTAGCTTCTCGCAACTGGCCTGTACTTGCCGCGGGGACTGCACAATCAATGGCGTCGAAGCAAACATGGCCCAGTCTATTCTGCAGAATTGCCAACTTTTTGCAATCAACTCCCGTGTTGGCGGGCATGGTGTGTGACCTCTCTCGGGAGCCCTCGGGGGGGGACTCGGGAGCCCAACCGGGGTGGTGTGATTCCGTGTTGGCTCCGTGACCCGACGCGGCACTGTGACCCCGTGCTTGCCATGACCGCCGCTCCAAAACAGCGCCCTCGTGACGCGAACAGCATGGTCGCACAGCGGCCCCGGGGGAACCCAACAGGCCCAAATACCGCGGCTCCCCGGGCCTCTCCGGAGGTGCGTTCTGCCCAGCATCTGGGGGCGAACTCTACGGCGGCGACGAGGGGCCTCCCGAGAGGCCCACACAGGGCGAGCCCACGGGAAGGGCAGCGGGGTGCCTTTTCCTCTGAGGCACCGGGGTGGCTTCTGGACGTCTGCGAGCAGGCACTCTGCGAGTCGTGGACCGCACTCGGTGCCTCGAGGGGGCCTCCGCTGCCCCGGGGGGCCTCAGCGCGGGAGCCCTGCCGCGGGGAGCTGCCGATCTGGGGCGGGGCGGGGCCCGCGCCGCCGCGGCCTCCGGGGCGCCACGGGCCCGCCCCGAGAGGTGTCTCCCGCGTCCCGATGCGCCACCAGCCACAGGGGGAGCCTTCCGATGGCGGGCTCCCCCGGCCGAGCAGGGCACTGCGAGGGCCACTCCTCGGCGGTGACGTCAGTGGGAGGATCGGGGCCAAGAACCGGGCCCAGGAGGAGGGAGGGGCATAGGAGGAGGAAAACGTAGCACCTCGCAATTGCGGATAAGAGTGAAGGGGCGGGCGCGGGGAGGGCCGCGGGTGGTTTGAGGGGTGAGTCGCGGGGTGGGTCGCGGGGTGGGTCGCGGGGTGGGTCGCAGGTGGGTCGCGGGTGGGTCGCGGGCGAGGACGACGATGACGACGACGACGACGAAGACGACGACGACGACGACAGCAATAATCATTTTGGGAATGTTCGCTCTTAACTGCTCGCGTGCCGTTCAAGACGTATATCCCAAACCCTTGGTACCCGCCCTCTTCGTCTTCGAGCGCGGCCCCTTGGGCCATATCCTCCTTACCTGACCGTGCAATTGGCGCAGAACCTGAAACAGGGGAAGAGAGGACGGATCGAAGAGGGAGGGAGACGGATGGAACACGGGATTCGAAGGAGAGGGACTAGGCGCAGAAAACACGGGTCGGGGAGGCGGGCCCAGGCGGCCAGGTCGACCAGGCGAGTGCTGAACCGTGCGTCCTGCATTAATCGCGAGGAAGTCTCGAGCGACAGCGCGATTCCCAAGTACATCAGCAGAAAACAAGAGAGCGTGATTCCTGAGTGTCGAGAGCGAGGCGTCTGAATAAATCGGAGGAGGTCCCGCGCGAGAGCGTAATCCCTGCCTACATTGTGAGGATGTCACGCGCGAGAGTG